TAGTGTTTTTATGGGATCCCTGAGTGCTTAAGTGGGTCTTTGATGCTAAAGCTTTCTCTTGGGCTCTTTTCCTTGTGTTTGTTTTGTCCAATTCCAATGCATTAATTTTTGTTTTATCTTATTATACTATATTTTATTATTAGAAAAAATATACCCATATGAAAGTAATCTAGACGAGTCAACAAATAATTGGGAGACAGTGCCTCTCCTGGACATTTTTTGCCACTATCTGAAACTTCCAGTTCCAGGAATGGGTTACATCTAGTGAATCATTGGCCAAAGGGGCTCCATGGAAACCCCAACCATCTCAGGCTATTGCCAAGGCTTTTGGTTGCTCTCTACAAATGGGTGTATTAAGGCCCTATTACTGAAGGAAGACAACATTTACGTATCTCATTGATCTTGGAGAAATCAAGCTGGGGCCTACCTAAAGACTTCCCTCCTACTGACTAGTGTTCATGGTACTGGAAGGTATATTGCATGCTTCCTGAAGAGAAAGATAACCAACAACCCAACTACAAGATCTACAACTTAACAACAATAACCTTCCTATAAGATATCCTGGTATAATAGTGGCATAAATGTGGGAGTAACCAAGTTCTCTCTGCTGTGAGGTAAGGCCACTCCCTGAGATGGAACAGTCTTAATATTGTTCAGATGGCCAAGAACCTAAGACTAGATAGACCTATAGGGAAAACCAAATACTATTATTCTTCTAAAGGAAGATAGCAACAAAATCACTTTTAATGACATTTTGCTTTGCTCAACTATCATCAAAGAAACTTTTTCTTGAAATATAGAGGAACTAACACAGAGACTCACAATTGGACAATGTACAGAGAGTGAGAGACTTTGGAACACAGTCTTAAATGGGATGTTTTCATCATACCTCTCCTCAGAGATATATGCAAAAGAGGTGGCAGAAAGATTTTAAGAACCAGACATGGTGAATAACTCAAAGGAAACGGTGGATCTGTGAAGGTCTGTGCATGCTGCTACAGTCCTTGTGAGTGAGTACATATGTGAATCAATCCTATTGTGTCTGCAATTGATACTTACTTGGAAAAGAAAAGTTGCTTTTCTCCAGTTGAGTCTTATTAGGTATATTAAATATACTTTAGGATAGGCCTTATATTTAGGAGTTGTTGGCCAACACAAACGAAATCAATGGTATTTTTTCGCATTATGCATTCCAATTCCACTTATCTCCCTGTCCCCTTGCATTTGCCTTCTGCCCTTGTATCTCCCCCCAAAACAAAATCAAATTAAGAAAAAACCAACAACAAAAAAGAAGAATCTTGTCATGGAAGCTGTAGTGTGGTCTGGCGAGTCATACAATTTGCCCTTTATTCCATACATCTTTACTTGTTAAGTGTTCATTGCTATTAGTCATTGGTCTGACCTGAGGCTTCTGGTTTATGCTACACCACAGGTAATGGGCTTTCACTTGGGCTCCTCTTGGATATCTTGTGTCATAGAGATCCTGTTGTTTTGGATTTGTAGGCTCATTCCCCTCACATGGTCCAGCAGTTCATAGATTTGGTGAATGCTGGAGTGGGCCAACTCGTAGCCCTGGTTCTGGGCCTGGGTAGCACCTGGGTTGGTCAGCTTGCTAGCTTTCCTTCATCATCATTACCAGATGAGCTCTTCAGCACTACCTCTAGCTCACCCAATGAAACCTAAGCAGCAGCCTGTGCCCAAAAATTTCCATGGCTCCAGATGGCAGCACCGGCCACCCAGATCAGCATGGCTCTGGGTGTGGCACGGTTCTCAGACCCTGACATATGGTCCAAGGTGATTGACCAGACCCTGATCTTCTGCATTATCCTTGGTGAAAACAGGAGCCCTGGGCATGAACTTCAGACCCATGGCTGCTGTAGAGCCCTAGACCCAGACATAGCCCTCTGCAGCAGCCCTGGCTTAGGTGACACGATGATCCTAGGTGACAGAGTAGGCCACTCAGATCAGGATGTCTCTAGTGGCAGCATGACCCTCATACATCATCATAACCACAGGTTGAGACCCAGGGCTGCAACACAGTTGACAGCACTGGCCACCCAAATCTGGCTGGCTTTGACATCAGTACAGCCCTTGGACACCAATATCTGAACAGGTTGTGGCCCAGACCCTGGGCATCCATGTAGGTCCTGGTGGCAACATGGGCCAGGAACATCAACACAGACCTTGGCTGCAGCAGGACCATGAGCCTAGACATGGTCCTCAGCAGCAGCCCAGGTTGTCACCATGGCCCCCGGTGGCCATGCAGGCCATCCAGATTGGTATGGCCCCTTTGCCAGCACCCTCAAATATCAGCATGGCCCCACCACAGTCCACAGTGATGACAGGAGCCACAGACATCATCAGCACAGGGCTGCTCGAAGGCCCTGGATCAAGACATGACATGTGGTCATAGCTCAGGCCTAGGTGTCTCCCTGGACTTGGGTGACCAGCTGGTTATTTACAACAACCCATTCTTTACCACCCTCACCTCTCCAGATCTACCTCTATCCCCACTCCACAAACCATTCCATGTCTCTTTCACTTCCCTACCTTGTGAACTTCCAACACAGTGGTATCTAGCTGCCCAGTGTCAGGGCTCATGGTTGGGTAACAGGTGGTGTTTAGTTAAATACTGCCTGTCCCAATCATAAGGGATGGCGAGGAGCTGTAACCTTTCCTCTCTTCTGTGCCTGGGCCCAGAGACCTCAGACAGTACTTGGTTTGAAGGTACCTGATTGCCTGGCCCTTGTGGGTACTCCACCACTGACCCAAAAGTCTGGGGTGGGGTGCACCATCTGTATTCATTGCTGATTCAGACCTGGGTGGTATTAACAGCTCCTGTTGATTGTGGTCCCCCAGACCCAAAAGTCAGGGGAGTGCTATCTGTGTCCATCACTGATTCAGCACTTAATGGTATTTTTATAGATTTTTGTCTCATACTTTTTTTTTTGGTTTTACGAGACAATGTTTTTCTGTATTGTTTTGGAGGCTGTCGGTCCAGCCTGGCCTCGAACTCACAGAGATCTGCCTGCCTCTGCCTCCCGAGTGCTGGGATTAAAGGCATGCGCTACCACCGCCCGGCTGTCTCATACTTCTTTGTTGGGCATATCTTTTGCTTGCTTATTTTCTATTTTGTTTTCCATTTTTAATGTTTTTTGTAGAGCTTTTGTGTATATTTCTTGTGTTTTTATGTTTTTGTTTGTTTTTTAAAGATAGAAAGGGCACGGAATTGTGTGAATAAGGAGTTGGAGGAGGGAAAAGCATGATCAGATTATAATATATGAAACTTTTTAAATAAAAATATTAAAAAAGGAAGAGGAGTTGTTGGTGACGTATAAAAGAGAAGGTGCCTAGGGATTCTTTTAGTAACTTTTGAAAATTATTTTTATTAGGATATATTAATTATACATTAAGGTGGGTTTCATTGTGTTTCCATACATCCATAAAATTTATTTTGGTCATAATCAATTCCCTTTATTCTTTCTTATCCCCTCCTCATATATTATTAGTCTCTTTTATCTCTTTCATTGCACCACATAGTTCCTCTTCTGCTTCCATATTCAATAGACTTGTTTACAGGGGTTATACCCCTGAAGAGAATGTCTTTCCCTCCCCTGACAACCATTAACTGCATATAGATCCCCAGGGAGGGCTAGGCCTTTGAGTCCAACCCTTTAGTAACTGTTTTTTTCAGAACCTATCTTGGGAAAGGATTTATGGTTACCATACTTGTTTTCAAACTTTGATTGTTGACTAAGTCTTGACTAGAATGAAATAAGCCCTTAGATTTATTGTTCAGAACATCTTTAGATTTAATTGTGTCACAGGCCATGTAATGACCATCATGCAAAGAATATTGTTGAAATATCGTTTGTGTTGTATTGTAAACAGAATATCCACACAGCAAATAAACCCTTTGGAGCCAAAGAAGTTGTTTATTTTCTATTTGTCTAGTTTTTAGTACGTAATAATTTTGTCATAAATTTTAGAAAGGCAAGACAGAATTTTAAAAGTTAATAAATCATCTCATTTATAGAGCCTCACAACTGAAATCAAATCAGGGCAAGGATGTTTATCTAATAAAGTATATGATTTTGGTACTTACCTAATTACATGTGCCTTTTAAAAAATTAAAAGAGAGGGGAGATAACTTTTAAATTCACAATCAAGCCACTTGAGGATTGTGAGTGTGATGAGCCATTACAATGAACAGTATAGGGGCTGGAGAGATGTCTCAGTCAGTAAAATACCTGTCAAACAGATGTGAGGACCTCAGTTCAGATTCCTAGCATTCATGTAAGAGCTGGACATTATCGGGGAGGTGAGACCACAGGATCCTGGGAGTTTACTCCCCAGCCAATTGAGTGAATTTGTGAGCTTAGGTTCAGTGGAGACACTGTCTCAAACATTAAGGTAGAGAGTGCCTGAAGAAGATACCTGACATCAACTTCTGGCTTCCACATGTACGAAGGGTTGTGCATATTCCACCCACAGACATAAATGCACATATGTGTACACTCACACAGAGCTAAAGCAATGCTAATGAATCTCTTTGAAAATAGAGAAAATAGTACTTGTAGAAATCAGAGTGGCCTGTCCTTGTAGATCACTGCCTTCCATAGCAGTGAGAAATCAACATGATTGGGAGGGAAAGTAAGACATTGGAGAGCCTTTAGTTTTTGAAAGGTTTTATGGAGATAATTGTTAAGAAATATTCTGTGGTGTAGCTCACTCTAATGAAAAAGTAGATTTTTAAATCACAGAGGTCTGCTCGTAGCATGTTGGATGACAAAGGGAATCTGGGGAGGATGTTTTGAGGTGGGGACCTGCGGCTAGGGTGGACTCCAAAAAGTAGAGCTGAAGGTGGCAGTTATGGAAGATGTGTGAGTGTGCATGTGTGTTCCTCTTCTGTCCTTTCACAATGTAGTGCAGTGCCTTATGCTAAGGAGTTGAGGATGTGCTTGTTTTCTTATATATACATTCTTATTTTGGTATTTTAGGGGAAGGAATGGGGAGAGACTGAGGATCATGAAGGAAAGGTAATTTTTGTGGATATTATAAGTTTTGTTTTCTACTTAAATGCTTAATTTGTTGATAACCTACAAGTATATTCAACTTGTATATCTCAAGATGCCATATATCTGAATTCTTAGGTGAAGTTTTTTTTTGTTAGCTATGCTTTGTTATTGCCTCACTGCCTTTATGTACCAGTGATTAAGAACCCTAACATTTGGCCATTTTTAAGGCTACAGTTCTTTTTGTTTTCTTGAATTTATTTTTTATTAATTTTAAAATTATGTGTATGTGTCTGTGTATAGGTATGTACACATGAGAATGAGTGTCTTGCAGAGTCCAGACATGTCAGAACTGGAGTTACAGTAGTTCTGTGCTTTCTGACATGAATGCTAGGAACTCAGGTCATTATAAATGTACTAGTAAATCTTAACTGCAGAGCCATCTCTCCAGCCTTATAGATCTGCAGTTCTTAATGACACATTAAATACATTCATATTTTGTGTTACTCTTAACCACTACCTTCTCCATAATCTTCTAACTTCCCCATATTGAAACTCTGTAACCACAATTAAGAAAGAGAACTACCGACCAACCTCCCTCATGAAATAAAACCTTTTTTTTTTTTAAATCTATGTTTAGCTTTTTCTTTTCTTTTTTGGGATAGTGTCTCACTCATAGAGATCTCCTGCATTTTCTTCTCCAGTGCTGGGATTAAAGGTGTATGCTACCATTGCTGGCTTTAGCTTAGATTTTGTGTAAAGCTTTAGAGGTTGCTAGTCAATGACTGGTTTGAGCCATGGTGATCTTAGCCTATTTTTGAGCGCGATAGTGTTCTTTAGGATGACAGTTACTCTGGTACTGCATAATCTGAGTATGAGGTGTTCCTCTTTTTTTATCCCTACCTCTTCTACTTAAGCCAAATTTGCTACCAGTTTGGACCTTTCCTTTACTTCTAAATAGCCCATCAGGCAAATGCCAGAACAGTATGGCTTTCTTCCCAAAACAATGAGTTCACCTTTTTGCAGTTGTTAAACATGCAGCTCTCCCAGTTACTCATGAAGAAGGTGATGACAATTGCTTGGCTGTTACCCTCTTTGACTTTCTTAGAAATTCCTTAAGTAGTCTGTTCTTTGAACATTGCAGAAGGTAACAATCTATAGCAGTGTCCACAACATTTCAGGGACATAAGCCTTTCAGGAAGCTATCCAGTCATGAATTCTCTCTTTAGAAAAACTGTCATGGACACATACATTTTTCACATGACATTTGGGAGTTTCTGTACTCTGTGAGATGTATTCAGTTACATTGTGGGAGCCATCTAGATTATTAAGATCTGTTGTCAGTATCAGAATTAGTGGCATATTCTGAGAAGCTCCTTTTTTATTTCCCTCATGACATGTGAAAAGAACATAGTAGAAAATGTTGAATAATGTTATTACTGTATCTGAGTTCAGCCATACCATTAGTGTGTAACACCACATTGATAAATAGGTTCAAGATGCTTGTAAACTTCAAGTTGCCTAGTTAGATATCAGGTAGATAGGTGTCTGAGTGTAAGTTGGCACATTGAATTTCCTTTTTTTTTTGGTGGTGGTTAAAGTTATTTTCTTAGGGTTGCTATTGCTGTGAAGAGACGCAATGACCATGCCAACTTTTATAAAGGAAAACATTTAATTGTGTCTGAATTGCAGTTTCAGAGGCCTAGTCCATTATTATCATGGCAGGGAGCATTGTGACATGTAGGTAGGAATAGTGCTAGGGCAGAAACTGAGAGTTCTATATATTGATCTGCAGGAAGCAGAAGGAGACTGTGCCACACTGGCTGTACCTTGAGCATATGAGACCTCAAAGCCTGCCCCCACAATGACACACTTACATTAGAAGGCCACACCTCCTAATAGTAACACTCCCTATGGTCCACATATTCAAACACGTGAGTCTATGGGGGCCATGTCTTTTCTTTACCAGTTATTTTATAAACTCTGGCTTAGCTACGGCTTCTCATATGTATCCCTGCCCTTTTTTGAGATAGACTCTTACCGTATAGTTACACTGGCTTTGAACCTGTGATTCTCCTGACTCAGCCTCTTGTGTTTTAATGTTACAAATGCATGTCACTCTCCTGTACTTTTGTCACATGATTCTTTTCTCTATTTGTTCCTGTTCACAGTAGTACAAAAGAAATGGAGGACAAAGGAACAGCAAACGATGATTTAATTATTAGTTGAAATTACGTGTGCTAGTAGAAGAAAGCTCTAATAGTTTGAATGAAAACAGCCCCTATAAGAGGAAGATTACCATGCACGGGATAGGGATGTCGTATGTTATTTTACTAGGGAGAAATCACTTATATAAGAAACCGATAACACAAGGTCGGTGCTCGGACAGTCTCCACTACTCTCTGAGACCTGACTGGAACCCCAAGAGAAAGAGACCTGCCTCTTCCCAGGTCTTTATCCCACACCTCACCTACACCTCACCAGTGGGCACACCCAAATGGGCGTGGACAACACCAAAGTTGTTTAGTAAGATTTCTCCCTATAGGCCCCCATAGGCTCATACATTTCAATACGTGGTCTGCAATTGGTGGAACTGTTCTGGAAGGATTAGGAGGTGTGAGCATATTGGAAGTGGGCTTTGAGGTTTCAAAATATTCAGTCCATTCCCAGCTTGCTGTTTGTCTTCTGCTTGTGGATCAAGATGTAAATTTTCAGTTGCTGCTGCAGCTGATGTCATCATTCTGCCATCACAGCCTCTTTTATAAGTTGTCTTGGTCCTGGTGTCTTCATCACAGAAATAGAAAAATAACTAAGACTTAAAACTTTACTTAAAGTCTAATAATGTTCAGTGTGACCTAAAAGGGCATTTTAGTTTGGTAGTTGGATGCTAAGCAGAGATATTGGCTTTGCACATGCTTTGTTCTCCATTCTGTTTTGTTGTTATTCTGTCTTGCAGTGAGGTGAATCATTCCTCTAGTTGTTGCTTACACCCTTGTCTGAGTGTATGTCTTCTTTCAGTTCATCCCTCTTCATTCTTCCCATATTTTTCAATATCATGAGTGATTTTTTTCCCCCTTTCATAATGAGTAGAAAGAAATCAGCAAATGTCTTACTATCTAAAGTTCTGTGTTAGTGGTCTTTCTTTAGAATGTGTGTGTCTTGAGAAGTCTGTGTCACACATGAGAGACATGGAAAATACAAGTATCACTTTATTTCATCAATGTTAGTAAAGTTTAGGTTTTAGGGCAAACCTAATCCTTTTTAAAGGACATGTCTAAATGATGTAGAACAGTGAAGTGCGTGGTGTATGGTCCTGGTATATATGATTAGTGTCTGCCCTGACATGTGAGTTCGCAGAATGGAATTCCTGCTGCTCCAGACTAAGCTTTAGAGTGCTCTTTAATGCAGTCATCTAGGCCAGTCTTCACAAAAAGTTCATAAGCAGCATATGAAGCAAAATCCATTTTATTCATTGGTCATGAGAGACTTTAGTTGTGGAATAGGTTTAATGATCACACATTTCAGAGTTCAGAGTAGACATTTTAGAGAAGTATGTGTTTTACTTTCTATATAAACATGCGTGTGTACACACATACACATAAGCACACTTTGGGGTTTAAAAAGGGGGGTGGAAGAGATTGTGGGCTTCTTTCTCGTTTATTAAGTTTTCTTTTTCCTTTTCAAAACTATCAGTGGCAAATTCTTTTGACTTCTGTAAGACTATTTTCATTTGGTCTTAAATATATTGGGGTTTCCTTTGCTTGTCTTGGTAAAATCCTCTTCACAGCTGCCATGTGGTGATGAGTGTATTCTCCTGTTTGAATTATTTATCTTTTCCCACGGGGGTGGCCTGTTGCATCACAGGAGGCTTTGCTTTTCTTGTATTCATTCCTGGAAAGCCTTCTAATTTAGTGCAACCATGCTACTCTAATGTCTATGCTTTTTTTTGTGTGTGTGTGTGTGTGTGACCTGCAACTAAAGGGAATGCTTCTCCCATGCAGCCAGTAGGATTAACAGATGGTCAAGCTGAATGCCTGCACATCCAGCCTTCTTTCCCGTTTGACCCCATAACCTCTCCCCTGTTTGGCAGTGTGCTGGTGTTGACAGTTCTTCTGGTTCAGCCAAAGGTGAAAGATAATTGCTTGTGGAGTAGCAGCTGGGATGGTATATGTTTCTGCAGCAAGCATCTAACCCCCACCCCCAGGCAAAACTTTGGATCTGGTGCATATTTCAAAGCATGTGTTTAACTTTATGTGATACTGATTAAAATGGAGGGCTCCAGGGTGAATTGGCAGTCCTGCAGCTGCATCTGCCAAATGACATACAGAGAAAGGCCTGGGACAAATGGAAGACTGTTACCTGTCTATTTTAGCGCCGTGCAAACCTGTGGAGGGAAAGGAGATCCTCAAATGTCTTAGCCTACCCCAAGGCACATCTAATTCTTTGGTAGCTCCTTTGTTGTGGTCATGTTTTTCTTTTCATTTTTTCTTTGGCTTTAAACAACAACAACAAGAAGAAAATCTACCTGTAAATACTAACTTGCAATTATCATTTCCTTTAGTTCTCTGTTGTTGAGAATCTACATCAATAGACTCTGAGATGCTAAGTTTGATTTGCAGGTTGTGGAACTCAGATCTGTGAAGTTCATTGTAGAGAGATATGTGCTCTTTATATAGCCAGAGACATTTGTATCTATAACTTTACATTTAGGGTCAGCTCAGATGTCTTTTTTAGAGGGAGTTATGCATTTATGACACTGGCACAGCTCAACAGTTCCTTAAAGGCAACATAGAAACATTAATGGTTTCATCAATTCCACAGGCAAGAAAAGAATCATTGAATGCACAGTGGATTCCAATTGCAAAAAACAAATGCTTTTATTGTTCCGGAATTACATTAAAAAATCTGTTTTCTAGGTGTTAAGTGGAAGGATTCATCCTAGTTCCCAGGGGAAATGTTGGTGCCTGTGTGTTTCCTGAGCCTTTTTGTAATCTCAAATTGCTTCTCTTCTACCTCTTCCTCCT